GCTCAAAAACATTCGTCCTCTGTGAGCCTGACAGAATGACCCTAGCCTATCTATATACAACTTCACCTGTGTCCTAATCCTAGCGTTATTAACTTAAAACAAATGTGTATGTCATCCTGTTTTTCCCTGAGAACATCCTGTTATTTCCTTAGTTGTAAGATTTACTCAACCTCACTATGATTGGAGTAGTTCTGCAAGAACACTTCTGTAAAACCTGCTTCTGTACACTTTACAAAGCATCTTATCACAAAGAGTTATCCGTTGTAAAAATTCCTTTTTCTGATGTTATCATTTGACCTATAAATAAAGACACCAAAACCGACAGGACAGAAATGCCTGCCTGGTGATCAGAAAGAATCTCAGGGCTCTCTTACTCGCTCTCGCCGACACCGTCCATCCTTCAGGGACCCCTGGACCTGCTGGAGCTGGCCTCCGGCATATAACTATATGACCAATTCATCTCCAACAAAGCAGGAAAGAATATCCAATGGAAAAAAGATAATTTTCAGCAACTGATGCTGGGAAAATTGGACAGTGACATGCAGAAGAATGAAACTGAATCACTTATACCATATACAAAAATAAATTCAAAATGGATAGAATACCTAAATGTGATGCCTGAAACCATAAAAACCATAGAATAGAGCACAGGCAGTAATGCCTGTGACGTTGGCTGAAGGAATATTTTTTTATACATGCCTCCTGAGGCAAGGAAAATAAAAGCACATATAAACTAATGGAACCACATCAAAACAAAAAGCTTCTGCACAGCAAAGGAAATAATCAGTACAGCTATAAAAGGCAACCTACCAAATGGGAGAAGGTATTTGTAGATGACATATCTGATAAAGGGTTAGTATGCAAAACATAAGGAACTGATACAACTCAACACCAAAACAGCAACAACAACAAAAAACCAAAACAACTCAATAAAAAAGGGCAGAAGACATAAACATACATTTTTCCAAAGAAGACATACAGATGGTCAACAGACACATGAAAAGATGCCTAACATCATTCATCACCAGAGAAATGCAAATCAAAACCACTATAAGGTATCACCTTACACCAAAAAAAAAAAAAAAAGGTATCACCTTACACCTGTCAGAATGGCTAAAATTAAAAAAAAAAACAAAATAAATAACAAATGTTGGTCTGGAGAAATAGGAAGCCCTGTGCACAGTTGGTGGGAATGCAAAGTGGTACATTCACTGTGGAAAACAGTATGGAGATTTCTCAAAAAGTTAAAAATAGATGTATTCTATGATCCGGCAATCACATTAATGGGTATTTACCACCAAAATACAAAAACATTAATTCAAAGGGATACACGCATCCATATGTTTATAGTAGCATTATTTACAATAGCCAAGTTATGGAAGTAGCCCAAGTATCCATAGATAGATGAATTGATAAATATGTGGTGTATATACACAGCAGAATATTATTCAGCCACAAAACAAGTGAAATCTTGCCATTTGCCACAACATGAATGGAGCTAGAGAGTGTTATGCTAAGCAAAATAAAACAGAGAAAGGCAAAGGCAAATGTCATATGATTTCACTTATATGTGGTATTTAAGAAACAAATGAATAAAGGAAATGAGAGAGACATAGCAAGAATGGATGGTTGCCAGGGAGGACTGGGTGAAGGTGGGTGAAATAGGAGAAGGGGATTAAAAGTATGCTTATTGCGGTTAACACTGAGTAATGTATAGAACTGCAGAATTACTATATTCCACACCTGAAACTAGTATAACACTATATACTGGAATTAAAAAAAAAATAGATGCATAAATTGAGGGAACAGAACAGCACGGCCAGAAAAAAGTCCATCCATGCATATGGTCAATTAGTTCATAAGAAATGAGCCCAGACTATACCATGGGGAATGGATACTCTCTTGAACAAATGGTGTTGGGGAAACTAGACAACTACATGCAAAAGAATGAAATGGGACCACTTTTATAAAATACACAAAAATCAACTCAAAATTAATTAAAAACTTGAGCCTAAGACCTAAAACCATAAAACTGCTAGAAGAAAATGCTAAGTTCCTTGACCTTGATGATTTTTTTTTTTTTTTGATTTGACACCAAAAGCAATAAAAGCAAAGACAAACAACTGGAACTACATCAAAGTAAAAAAGCTTCTGGGGCACCTGGGTGGCTCAGTCACTTAAGTGTCCAAGTCATTTTTTAAAAGATTTTTTCTTAATGTTTGAGACACACACACACACACACACACACACAGAATCTGAAGCAGGATCCAGGCTCTGAGCTGTCAGGACAGCTCAGCCACCCAAGTGCTCCCAAGTCATGGTTTTGACTCAGGTCATGATCTCATGGTTTCGTGGGTTTCAGTCCTGCATCAAGCTCTGCGCTGATGGTGCAGAGCCTGCTTCGGATTCTCTGTCTCCCTCTGTCTCTGCCCCTCTCCCACTCATGCTGTCTCTATCTCTCTCAAAATAAACTTGAAAAAAGTAAAAACTTCTACACAGTAAAAGAAACCATCAGCAAAATAAAAAGGCAACATATTAGATGGGAGAAAAATATTCGTGAATCATAGATCTGATGAGTTAATATCTAAAATATATAAAGAACTCCTACAACTCAATAGCGAACAAACAAGCTGACTAAAAAATGGCAGAGGACCTGAAGTCATTTTCACAAAGATGACATACAAATGGCCAATAGGTACATGAAAACGTGCTCAACACCATTAATCATCAGGGAAATGCAAGTCAAAATCACGAGCTATCACTTCACGCCTGTTTGAATAGCAATTAACAAAAAACAAAAAACAAGAAATAACTAGCGTTGGTGAGGATGTGGAGAAAAGGGAACGCTTGTGCACCATGATAACAGTCATCATGGGAAACAGTATGGAATTTCCTCAAAAAAAAAAAAAAAGTAGAACTACCCTTTGATCCAGCAATCCCACTTCTGGGTATTTGTATGATGAAAATGAAGACGCTAATTTGATGTGGTATTTTCTTCCAATATACGACTGTTTTATTTCCATGGATTATCGTTTTCTTAGCTAGATCTTCTGGATAATTTGCTGTAACTTCTACATCAGCACTTGCTGCTTCACCTTGCAGTTTTTTTTCTTTGGGAGAAGGGCAACCCAGGTCTGCTAGTTTTTCTTCTGTGGCTTCCTCGCCACTCTGCCTTTGTGGAACTGAGGACTCAGGGCCTCGCTCTGGATGAGGCTTTGACTTACCAGAACGCGCAGCTGCCTTGCTCTCTCCTCTAGGCCAAACTTTGTATCAACAATAAGGCTGTTTGCTTTCTTATCATTCCTGTATTTGCTGGAGTAGCACTTTTAGTTTCCCTCAAGAACTTTTCCTGAGGCACCTGGGTGGCTTAGTTGGTTAAGCATCAGACTTTGGTTCAGGTCATGACTCGCGGTTTGTGGGTTTGAGGCCCGCGTGGGGCTCTGTGCTGACAGCTCGGAGACTGGGGCCTGCTTCAGATTCTGTGTCTCCCGCTCTCTCTGCCCCTCCCCTGCTTATGCACACATGAATGCTCACTCTCTCAAAAATAAAAAAAGTTAAAAACTTTCCTTTGTCTTCACAACTTGGCTAATTGTTTGGTGCAAGAGGCCTAGCTTTCAGCCTGTCTTGGCTTTTGACAGGCTTTCCTCACATCTAGCTTTTCATTTAAAGTGACAGAGGTGGGACTCTTCCCCTCACCTCGCATATAGAGGCCATTGTAGGGTTATTGACAAGCCTGATTTCAATATTACTGTGTCTCAGGGAATTGAGAGGCCTGAGGAAAGGGCGAGACTGATGAGAATACCAATCAGTGGAGCAGTCAGAACACACACAGCATTTATCAAGGAAGTTTGAGGTCTTCTATGGGTTAACAGTAACATCAAGGATTACTGATCATAGATCACCACGGTACTGAAAATATTTGAAATACTGCAAAAGTTACCAAAAAGTGATACCAAGACACAAAGTAAGCAAATGCTGTTGGAAAAATGGCGCTGATAGATTCTGGACACAGGACTGCCACAAACCTCCAATTTGTTTTTTAAAAAATGTACATTTTTTTGTGTAAACCACAAATATATACATCTAGGTAAGTATATGAAAATATATGGTTTATAAATATATATGGTTTACATAAACATACAGTCTATACTAAGATCTAGAAGATACTTTGTCAAAGAAGAAAAAAATCAAAGAAAATAGAAACATACAAAACAAGGCACCGTCGTAGGAAAAAACATCGCACAGCAAATAGAGTTTTTAAATGCACATTTAATACAGAACGCAAGAAACTGGCAAGGAAAACGCAAAAGACTAATTGTGGTAAGCAGGAGGCAAAGGGGTGCAAACCCACAACAGGCTTGAGACGGCACTTGCAAGGCGGGGGCTGTGACTCGCAGGAGCTCTGGTCAGACGGACCAGGTTCAACCTCCCTTCAGTGCAGCGCCTGCGGTCTGGACCAGAGGTAGATTCGAGTCGTCCAGGCGAGAGATCAGACCTGCTGCTCTCCACGAGTCCTCCTTCATCTTCCTCATCGGGGAATTTCCGATATTGTTACTTCCCAGCCCAGACTAACTTCCACAGGTAGGCTCGGCACAGGTCGGACTGGCTGAGAAATCTCACGACCAGACAAACCGTGCAACGTCCCTTGCAAAAGCAAAGCACAAGGCTCACTCAATTGTCCACCTGGATTTATTAGGAAACCGGCTCTTTACTCCCGCCACGAGGCTCGGCAAGGCGCCTGGCCCGGTCCTCCCGAACCTAGGCGAGTCAGGTGACAGAAACAGGGAGAGTGCCGGCTCCGGCGGGACGCGCGCCTCGGCGCCTCGGAGGCGGCCGCGCCGCTGCGCGCAGGCAGTGCCCCGAGCCGGGCCGCGGCGGAACTACAACTCCCGTGGTGCCTCGGGCGGACGCCGCGCCCCGTAGGCCCGCCCAGCCCGCGGAGCCCCGCCCAGGTCGCGGGTGCCGGAGGCGCCGGGGTGTGCGCGCGGGCGGGCGCGCGGCGGCGGTGACGGCCGCGGCGGGCGGGCGGCCGGGCTGGCGGCATGGAGCCCCGCGCGGCGGACAGCTGCTTCCTGGGCGACGTGGGTACGTGCGGGCGCGGGGGCGCGGGCACCGCCGGGCTGCTCCCGGCCGCGCAGGTGCCGCGGAGGACGCCGGTAGGGCGTCTCGGTGGGCCCAGGTTGGAGCGCCGCCGTGTCCTTACGGGGAGCAAGGTCGGTAACCCCCATCTCCGGCGCCCTCTGCGTCTGGCTCCTTGTCCCCGGCCAGCGTTGCAGAGCTGCTCGTCGTCGCGAAGCGGCGGTCGTGGGACTTCCCAACCGCAGTCCCACCGGCGCACCTTGGGGGAGGCGCAGAGAGGGGTGGGCATGGTCATCCCCCAGTTCAGAGCACCCAGAGGTGCCTCTGCGGGACCGCTCCTCAGGCAGCCCCGCAGAGCCCGGTGTGGGAGCTGAACACCTCCCAGGGGCCCTCTGGGAAGATCGTGTCGCACTGTCATTAGCATCCTGCGGGTCCATCCGGCCGGGACCAAAGGCGTATGCTCCAGAGGATAATGCCCTTGTGACAGGTCACCCCATGTTTAAAAACAAAATGCCATCTCCCTTCTTAACTGAATCTTCCCTACCATTCGGACTACGGGAAAATAAAATGGATGCGAGGGCAAAGGGACATTCTCTGGGGAAGTAAACTTCCCTATGAAGTAATACTACAGTAGACGAAGTGAGCCGAGAAATCACTTGGAAAGGCTGGAAGCAAACAAAACCAAAACCAAACAACAACCCCCCCCCCCCCCGAAGCCCCTAAAGAACTTTTATACCAGTAAAAACAGTAGTGCCGATAAAAATGAGATCTCTTAAGGGTAAATTTAGCGTAAGGAAACTTGAAGTCATAGCAAGGCTGATATTTGAATGGATCTTGGAAAACAGGCACCTTGAACACGATCAAAGACATTTAATAAACATCTGTTCTTACTTGGCATTCCACCTCAGGCGGGCACAAGACTTTGACCCCACCAGAGGGATCGGTGTTTGGTTCAGTTAAGTAAGCAAAGAATGACTAACCAGGGCAGCCTGGACAGGTTTTGTACATGTAGAATCCTTAATAGCGCAGGATTCACTTCTGACCTTTTTTTTTTTTTGGCATCGTTCCTTAAAAAAAGGAATTTTTAAGAGAAGAGCTCGCTCAACCAATAGATTTTTACAGCTTCTGGGGTTCATGGATATTTTTGGATGTCGTTGTTTTATTTCCTCTAAAAATAGGCCCTGAAATTTTCGTTCTCTGCATTAAGGGATAAGCTGAATGTATTGAATCCAGAACACCAGTATCCCAGAAGAAGCAACGGCCCACTGTGGGGACTAGAACCCATTTGAATATTCTGATCTGAAATTCTAGATGTGTGGTATATATACTTCAAAGCACATATGTTTTTCCATTTTTTAATAGAACATCCCACAGAGGTAAAGATTGTACTTATTAAGGCCATATTGTAAGGCTCTGCAGAGAATTTAGGGCAAGTCACCTCCTAAGTGAATCCTAGATTTATAACTTAGCAAACCTTAGTAGTACAGGTTGTTACTGACCCAAGGCAAGCATCCATTTACGAAATCGAAAAAGTGATCCCGTATTCAGGATCTGTACTCAAGAGCTGTATTCGAGAGGCTGGAAGACGAAGACAAAAGGTACCTTAAGGATTTGAGGCTCTAAGCAAGGTGAGCTGGTTTTCTTCTGTCACCCTTAGCCACGAGCTCCTACCATTGGGGGTATCGCTACCATCCGGTCAGCTGGAGACAGAAGGAAGAGACGGTTTCTGGGACCACGATAAAGCCTGGAGCAGCTTAGTTTACGTGCCAGTGCTAGTCACAGGCCCGGAGGCAGCCGCAAGGCGGTCCTTATTATTGATAATTTAGAGGTACGGCAGAGTTCGCATGGCCAGAAAGAGGCAAGGCTGAGGTTTAAACCCGGGCGGGGTTTCCTGGGTTGCTGGCTTTACACTAAGAGGCTCACACCCTTCACATCAAATACATTAATCTCTAATCAGTTCGTAGGGTCACTTGGACTGCTGGACAGGATGGATAAGCCACATCCTGCCGTGGGTTTCTCAGGGGACGTGGAAGGCTTTTACTGCCGACCTCCCATCGCCACATCGTACCATGCGGGGCCGGGAGGCAGGTTTCTGCCTGTCGGGTCCACGATCAGGAGCACAGCTTGGCCTGCGTCCCGGTGCCCGGGGACCTACCCGGCACACCTCGGAGATATTTTGGGTTCGGTTCCAGACCACTGCAGTAAGTGGACACTGCAGTGGAGAAAATCACATGAATTTTGGGGGGTTCCCAGTTCCTACAGAAATTAGGTTTATACTGGCCTGTTGAGTATGCAGTAGCGTCGTCTGAAAACATACCTTAATTGTAAAAGTGCTTTAGTGCTAAGAAAGGTAACCGTCATCTGATGGTTTTGCTGGTGGAGGGTCCTACCCTCGATGGTGACGGCTGCTGACGGACCAGGGTGGTGAAGGTTGGGGTGGCAGTTTCTTAAAATAAGACAACAATGAGCTTGGCCGTGTTTCTGGACTCTTGCTTTCACAAACTCTACCTGGAGCATGTGATGCCGTGTGATAGCATTTTATCCACAGAAGTTCTTTCAAAATTGGAGTCCGTCTTCTGACACCTTGCCACTGCTTTGTCAGTGGAGTTTATGTCGTATTCTAAATCCTTTGTCATATCAACAATCTTCACAGTATCTTCACCATGAGAAGATTCCATCTCAAGAAATCACTTTCTTTGCTCCTCCGTGAGAAGCAACTCCTCAGCTGTTCAACTTTTTTCAGGAGATTACAGCCATTTTGCCCACCTTTAGAGGCTCCACTTCATCTGGGCCCCTCGCTGTTCTCCACCTCACCTGCGGTGACTTCCTCCACGGATGCCATGAGCCCCTCACGGTCATCCATGAGGGCTGGAACCTACTGCCCCCAACTCCTGTTCTCCTGTGAATGTTGATATTTTGGCCCCTTCCCATGAATTATGAAAATTCTTAATGGCATCTGGAATGGTGAATCCTTTCCAGAAGTTTTTCAATTTCCTTTGCCCGTATCCATTAGAGGAATCGCTGTGGTAGCTACAGCCTTATAGAATGTATTCCTAAAACAAGACTTCAAAAGTTGAGATGTCCTTGATCCATGGGCTGCAGAATGACGTCGTGTTAGCAGGCATGAAAACATGAAACTTGTCCACCTCCATCAGAGCTCTTGGGTGACCAGGCAACATTGTCAAGGAGTATTTTGAAAGGAATCTTTTTCCAAGCAGGAAGTCTCAACAGTGGGCCTAAAGTAGTCCGTAAACCGTGTTGCAAACCTGTGTGCTGTCACCTAGTCTTTGTCATTCCATTTAGAGAGCCCAGTAGAGTAGATCTTAGTTCTTAAAGGCCTTGCGATTTTTCAAATGGTCGGGCAGCATTGGCTTCCACTTAAACCCACCGGCAGGAGAGTGGGACTGACTTCTCCCTAGCTATGAATGTCCTAGATGGCATCTTCTATCCAATAGAAGGCTGTTTCATCTACACCGATCACCTGTTTGGTGTAGCCATCTTCGTCAATTTTCTTAGCTACACCTTCTGGGTAGCCTGCTACAGCGTTGACTTCAGCACTTCCTGACTTCAGCACTTCCTGTTTCACCCGGTACTTCCACATTTTTTTTGGTAAATATTTTTAATGTTTTATTTATTTTTGAGAGAGAGAGAGACAGCACGAGCAGGGGAGGGTCAGAGAGAGGGAGACACAGAATCCGAAGACGGGCCCCAGGCTCTGAACTGTCAGCACAGAGCCCGACATGGGGCTCGAACCCATGAACCATGAGATCATGACCTGAGCCGAAGCTGGATGCTCAACCGACTGAGCCCCCCAGGCGCCCCTACTTCCACGTTTTAGAGATGGCCCCTTTCCTTGGGCCTCACAAACCAACCTCTGCTACCCTCCAGTTTTTCTTCTACAGCTTCCTCACCTTTCAGCCTCTGTGGAATTGAAGAGAGGTGGGGCCTCGCCCTAGATTAGGCTCTGACTTAAGGGAATGTTGTGGCTGCTTTGATCTTCTGTCCAGACCATCTAAACTCAATATCAGCAGGAAATCCATTTAATTTTCTTATCATTCACGTGTTTGTTGGCGTAGCACTTCTAATTTTCTTCAAGAAAATGTTGCATTCACATCTTGGCTGTTGGGGTCAAGAAGCCTAGCGCTCAGCCTGTCTTTGCCTCTGACATGCCTCCCTGACCAAGCGTAATCATTTCTAGCTTCTGATTTAAAGTGAGGGATGTGGGAGTCTTCCCTTCACTTGAAGACATACAGATCATCGTAGGGTTATTAACTGGTCTTAATTTCAGTGTGGTGGTCTTAGGGAGTAGGGAGGCTGGGGAACGGCTGGGTGGTGAAGATGGAACACGGTGTTTGTCGGTGAAGTTCACCATCTTACGTGGGCACAGTTTGGGGTGCCCTGAAACATCACGGTACTAACAAAGATTATTGGTCACAGATCACCAGGGCAGACGTAGTAAAGTTCGAAATAGTGCAAGATTTACGTGACAGACACGAAGTGAGTAAACGCTGCTGGAGAAGTTACAACACAGGATGCCACAGGCCTTCAATTTGTAAAAGACGCAATTACCTGCCAAGTGCAAGACATGGAAGGCGCACTGGCTTTCCTGAGCTGCGTTTCCCTTTTTTGCTGCAGGACCGAGGGCCTTGCCCTGCCCTCCTCTTTGGAAGGTTGTAAATCCTCATCTTACCCGTGGGGTTTTGCTTCTTCTAGACGGACTTTGGAGTCGTAGCCACTCTTCACTGACCCCCAAGACAGACAAGCCCATGCCTGGTAAACACCAATCATAAGACAAATGACTTATGAATGTCGACATACAAATCTTGAGAAAACTAGCAAACCAAGCATGCTAGGGCATCATGACCAAGGAGGTTTATCCCAGTGCTGACTCCAAACACAGGCACATTCGGAGGTACACAGGGTTTGGGCTTTCTGAACTTTGGGGGCAAAATTCAGTCCATAACAAGTTGTAGGCCAACAGATTACATGATGTACACGAAGAGGACAAATTCCAATAAAGACACAACCTACCAAAACTGACTGAAAAAAATAGACACTCTGAATAGACTTGTAGCAAATGAAGGGATGGAGTTAGGAATTAAAGCTTATAGCAAAGGAGAGCCCAGACCCAGAGATCTTCACAGATGAACGTGATCCAACATGTAAAGATTCAACACCAGTGCTTTGTAAACTCTTCCAAAAATTAGGAGAGAGAATAACTTCCCAACTCATTCTATGCAGCCAGTAAAACCAGCTAAAAACACCAATCATAAGACAAATGACTTATGAATGTAGACGTACAAATCCTGAGAAAACTAGCAAACCAAGCACGCTAGGGCATCATGACCAAGGAGGTTTATCCCATAAATACATAGCTGGTTTAACATCTGAAACTCAATTAATGTACTACACCATTTCCACAGAATTTAGGAAGGCCGGCATGAGCATTGCAGTAGATGCAGAAAAAGTATTGAACAAAAATCCACCACCATCTGATGGTGATTAAAAAAAAACCAAAAACTCCACTAGAAAGGGTGTGTGTGTGTGTGTGTGTATGTCCTCCACCTGATCAAGGCCACCTGTGGAAATCTCACAGCTAATCTCATCCCTGACATGAAAAACAACGAATGAGGCCAAGATGTGCTGTTACCACTTCTGTTCAGCATCTTGCTGGAAGTCCGAGCCAGGGCAGTGAGGCAGGAGAGAAGAGGCATCCAGATTGGAAAGGAGGTGGCAAAACTAGTTCTATTAGCAGATGTTGTGATTTTATATGTACAAATTCCGGAGGAATCTTCTCCGGTAGAGTAAAATGTGGTCCTCACTGTCAAGGCACTGCGGGCCAAGGATGGGATGGAGATGGTGTCAAGCTGTAAATGAGGGTGTGCAAGCGAGTATCTTGGAAGAAAGTTTTCTCAGAGAAGATGTCAAATGGGTGCAGTGGAGCACGTAACATCTAAACCCGAGTCTCCCGTCCCAGCCCTCCGGTCTGCACAGGTGGGGATCTCCGGCAGAGAGGCAGGTGTGGGAGGGCAGTGGACACCGACCAGCTACAGGCGGCCCCGGAGAGGGGTCCTTGGTGGAGAATGGCGTGAAGACGTGATCAAGGCCCAGGTCACCGCCCTTATAGGCCATGCCAACGAGTGTGGCCTCCACGCTCTGGCATTGGAGGTGATCCAAGGATTTTGAGGAGCATTTGGACCAACTACGTGATCCTACATAGGGTCCTGGGTTTCATACAGTGTCTTTGCAACCGTAGCGCGTTCTCTCGTGGCACCAGGTCTCAGCGCCAGTCCGCCTTCCTTTCCAGGTTTCTGGGTGGAGCGCACCCCCGTGCACGAGGCAGCCCAGCGCGGCGAGACGCTGCAGCTGCAGCAGCTGATTGAGAGCGGGGCCTGCGTCAACCAGGTCACCGTGGACTCCATCACACCCCTGCACGCGGCCAGTCTGCAGGGCCAGGCGCAGTGTGTTCAGCTGCTGCTGGCCGCCGGGGCCCAGGTGAGCGGCCCTTCGGGGAAAGGAATGGCTGGGACCCGCTCCAGAGTGCATAGGGAGGGAGGGGAACCCCTAAGAGGCTTGGGCTGAGCTTTGGGATGTGCAAATGTATGGAAAGTAGAGAAACCACGGTGGGGGAGGCGGTAGTGGAGGCCAACAGAGCAGCTGACTCTAGGTCACCATGGTAACGGCTGGGCCATCAGGAGGGCACTGGTGGCAAAGAGAAGGCAGTTCTAGTTTCCAGCATGGGAGACGTTGTGATGGCCGGCAGGCTGTGGCCGAGGAGCCGCTGCTCGGGTCCAAGAGCAGGATTCTAAACACAAGATTGGGATTTGCTTCCTGGAGGCGGAGGGGGTGGGGGTGGGGCTGGGGGGGGAGTGGGAGGTGGCACGGGCCCCTCCCGCACTTGGGCTAAGAGGCGCTGCCAGCCTGGCTCCCTTTGTCCTGAACGCCCTTGCCTGCCACGGCACCTTGGCACACACCGGAAAAGGAGTACCAATGAGGGTCTTTGCAAAGATGAACGTGCGTCAGGAGAACTCAGTCGTGTGGGCTTCTCCCCCCCACGCTGACGCCCGTTCCTTCCTCCCCATGAGGTGGACGCCCGCAACATCGACGGCAGCACGCCCCTCTGCGATGCCTGTGCCTCCGGCAGCATCGAGTGTGTGAAGCTGCTGCTCTCCTATGGGGCCAAGGTCAATCCCCCGCTGTACACGGCATCCCCGCTGCACGAGGCCTGCATGAGCGGTGAGTCCCCGCGAGCAAAGCCGGCATCCTGGCTGGGAAGCCAGCAGCCGGCTAAGGGGCGCTCCCCGCCTGCTGCTGCAGCGCAGGCCCCCGGCCGTGGGAGTCCTCAGACCGCGTCCACCCAGCAGCAGGGGCCGTGCGTCTAGGGGAGGATTCTGTTTCTTAGCTGGGTCTGCAGGGCCTTCAGACAGTAACACAGGAAATCAGTCCGCCCTGCGGTGGCTCACCCAGTCTTCACCGTCTTCTGCGCTGCGGGCCCCTGGTGTAGTTCGAGGAGACCCAGCACATGCTGAGGACAGGGCCCTCCTCCTGGGAGCTCGGGGAGCACGTGGGATTTCAGCGGCCCCGCAAGAAGGGATAGGTTTCAGATGGTGGGAGGGCAAGAGGAAGGCCGTCCAAGCGCAGAGAAACCGAATTGTCCAGGCTCACTGGACCGGAAGCTCCCAGGAGAAGGCTAGCAGAGAAGACTGGAAGCATAGGGGAAAACCGGCAAGCAGGAAGTCTTTGAATGACACACTAAGGAGTTTGGAGCCTGCTCTTCCGAGCAAAGTTTGCAAGCTTGTGGCCAGCGTTGTGTTGGGGGGTGGGCACGTGTTCTTTCGTGGCTCCACTCGGAGCCACCGTTCTCTGCCGAGACCACGCCACTTGCACTCAAGTTGAGAGAACACGGTATGGTTCCAAGGACACTATGAAACCCAGGACCCTAGGTAGGATCACGTAGTAGGTCCACATGCTCAAAATCCTTGGGTCATCCCAAGGGGTGGGGACCTGGGCCTTGCTCATGTCTTTTGAGCTTCCCCTCCTCACCGCCCCCACCCCAACCCCCCTCCGGCACCTGGAGCTGGTCTGTGCCTACTGCCCTTCCACACCCGCCTCTCTGAGAGCCCCAGCTCTGTGGACTGGAGGGCCGGGCCGGGAGAATCCCCTGTTTAGACGTTACGCGCTCCACCTGTTTTGTGGAGTTTTCTGATGCTCTCTCTGGGCTGATAAGGGTCTGGAATTTTCTCTGGTCATTCATTTCTGTCTTTCCTGGTGGGGGTGGGGTGGGGACACCTTTGTAAATTTCTGTCCTGCTCTTAGGCAGATGGGGAGGGGGCAGAGAGCTTTCCTTGTATCTGCTGGGTAATTGCCTTCGGCGCAAGATAATTCTTATGCTAACACAGCAAATCTTGGTGGTGGCATAGCCACCACTCTTCCATAGAGGAGCGATGGGGTGGGGTCTCCTGATGTGGGGAGAAGAGTCGGAGCCCAAGCCACGCGGATTCATTTAGAAAGCTTTAGGGGGAAATCAGCAGGGTTTGGTGCGGGGCAGAGGACGCTGTAGGGGTGCTGACATCCCCAAGAGGGGCCGGCAGAGGGCTGTAGGGGAGAGGCCGGATTTCAGGGCTAAGGTGGAAAACTTGGCAGTTACTGACGAAGCAGGAGTGAGGGGAGAGGAGGAGTCTGGGACAGAAGGAACCTCCAGCCAAACCCAGTTAAAGATGCCGGGAAAGGGGCAGGAAAAGCCCCCGCCAGGGAGAAGGCTGGGGGACCTCTGAGGTCAGGAAGCTGCAGGAAGTTCCTCCAGGAGATTTGGACTCTGGCTGCTGGCGGGCTTCAACTTACACCGCCAGGCTCAGTGCTCCTGACACCGCTTAGGGGACCCGGGAGGTGGGGAGCACCTTCCTTCCCCCTGAGGAGTCGGGTCTAGCTGCTCCGAGCTGCTGCTCTCCCGCAAGAGGCTCGCCTGCGCCCTCTGTTCCTCCTGCTGCCAGGCTGGGCTGGGGGAACCCTGAACCCCCTCTCCTGCCTCCACGAGGCCATGTGGGATTGTGAACCGCTTTCAGTAGGGATGCGGTTCTGGCTTCCCTTTCTCCCCCTGCAGCAAGGCGTGGGGCTTACCTGTTCTAGCGTTTCTCTCAGGCTTATTTCAGATTCGTATGCTCCTTGACGGCTCTCCTCCTTTGCTGCTTGTTTTAAGGAAGTTCCGAGTGCGTGAGGCTTCTCATCGAGGTTGGGGCCAACCTGGAAGCCCACGACTGCCATTTCGGGACCCCTCTTCACGTTGCCTGTGCCCGGGAGCATCTGGACTGTGTCAAGGTGCTGCTTAATGCAGGTAGGCCGGCGTCTGCCTCGGGCACGTCGGGATTTATACCTGCAGCTGCGCGGTGTGGGCGTGTCCTGTTCACACCCGTGCTCGAAGAGTTGTGTTTACTCACCGTGCTATTTAGTGCAGGTGTGTTGTGTTTATGCGTGTTATTCAGTGCAGGTGGGCCCTGTTCCTCCCCGCCCTGCCCGGTGCAGGTGTTTTGTTTACCTGCACTGTGCACTGGCCGAGAGCTGGGCGGTGGACTCATAGTCCGGGTTGGAAGTTGGCTCTCCCACTTGCCAGCCGAGACCGTGGGCCTCAGTTCCTGTATCTATTCATCTGGAAAAGTAAAACTTATTTTGTAGGGTTGTTGGAAGGATTTGTGATCACATTTCTGCAGGGCCTGATGCCCAGTGAATGTTAATCATTATTTTTGATGGCGACGGGGACCATCCCCAATACCTGCCTAATTCGATAGCCATTTAAATTTTTTTTAATGCTTATTCTTGAGTGAGAGAGACAGACTGTGAGCAACGGGAGGGGCAGAGAGAGGGGGAGACACAAACCGGGAGATCATGACCTGAGCTGAAGTCAGAAGCTTAACTGACTGAGCCCCCCAGTCACCATCTAAATCAGAAAGAGACGGGGATCTGAGAGAAATGGAGCCGGCGGCAGCATGTGGAATCCAGATTCTTGTCGAGTGTTCTAAAAAGGCTCAGCGTAGGGAGGATCCCAAGGCGAAAAACAAAAAGCAGAATGAAAAACAACCCAGCCAAGGGGAGGTTGGCTTCAGGACCTATCTACCACAGGAGTTTGCAAATGTAGCCAAAGTGGGTATTGGAAGGAGTTTTTATTATGAACCCAACTTAAATATTTTGTTGGAACATTTAGCTCAGCCATTCTGGGTGCAACTTAGGATAAAAAAACAAAACTGGTCAGGAATAGAAAGATCACGAGTTCTTTCCAGAGGACGGTCATTTGAGCTTAGGTAATATGTACTTTTCTATTCTGAGTCTTGTTCACTTTAATGTGCACTTTTAAGTCTTTTCAGCCAAAAAGGTTCATTTTGTATAAGGTTTGTTATTGGGGTCATTTTAATTTATATATTTAAAAGTTTTTTTTAATGTTTATTCTTGAGAGAGAGACAGAGCATGAGCAGGGAGGGGCAGAGAGAGAGGGAGACAGAATCCGAAGCAGGCTTCAGGCTCCAAGCTGTCAGCACAGCGCCCCACGTGTGGCTCAAACCCACAAACTGTGAAATCATGACCTGAGCCAAAGTCGGACCCTCGACCGACTGAGCCAGGCAGGTGCCCCACGTTTTTATTTTTTATACAGTGAAAGAATGTCTGGATGAGCACCAGCCATAGACCTTCCGGCCAAGTCACTCAGCTTTCCTATCAGCCCAGGGTACCTGCCTGTCATTACTGCCGAGCTTTTGAAACAGTTTTCTGGTCCGCGACCATCGGCAGAGCACCTGGTACCTGTGTGCTCAGCACACCTCAGCCCTTCCTTCTTTCCTTCCTCGTGGCTGTAGGGGGAAGGATCAGATTAGGGGTTTGAACCCCAACATCCTTTCTGCATGAAGTCCTAACTTAATGGAAATGGTTCTTCTTTTGTTAAGTAGTGGAATGCCCACTGGAGGGCGCTGCGGGATTAGGAGGAGACCGCGTTCAGGGCCAGTTTGCCCTGGGGCGTCAGCAGTATCCTCAAGCCCTGCTTTCTCTGAAATTTGGAGGTTGACTGCCCGCAGTGTTCGCCTGAGCCTATGCTGAGCGCCCCAACGGGGTTAAAATGGCTCCTTCAGGGTCGGGCTGAAATCCAAATATTTTTGCTTACGAGGCTTCTGGTAGCTTTCTCAGAATAGAGAAAAACCACTTGTCCAGCTGCCTTCCACACGCTTCCCCTTGTGTCCCATGGGCCCAAATTGGGACCTGGGTCCAAACCTAATCCAGTCCCTACGTCCAGACTCAGCCGAATTCTGATTGGCTCAGGCCCAGGCTATTTGAACCAATTACTGGGGGTGGGGGGAGAGGGATTAGCCAATCAGGGCCCACACCCGGGGCTGGAGGCCAGGTCGTGTCCCCCCCCCCCCCAGTTGCAGGCTGGCAGTGTAATGGGGCAGGCTGGTCAGAGTGGGAGGGCGGCCGTGGGGTTCACGCCGGCCTTAAGCAGGGGTTCCCCGATGTGGTGGCCGCCGCCACCAGGCCGTCAGCTCCGGACTGGACTGCCGCTGGCCTGTGACAGCCCCTCCTCCATAGATGAAATGGATTCTTTTCAAAGAAAACATTTTCAGCTACTGGAAACCTCAAACATGCAGAAAAGTGAAAGCCGAGGGCAGGGCAAGGGTTCTTAGCATAGACGTTCTTCACGCTGTGGGGCGGGGGACACACCCCGGGGGGCGGCCCCCGGGGTGGGCACTGGGTCACCCAGCTGCAGGTTAGTTTTGCCTGAGCCACCCAGGCACCCCTCTGGGAAAGTAAATAATAAACATTAAGAAAAAGAAGGCAGGCGGAAGGCCCCACGGTCTTGTGTACAAAAAGATTTTGCAAAGGCCGTGCGGAGCCCCTCTGGGTCCGCTCTCCCGCGGGACGGCTGCGTGCGCGGCGCTGCACGGGAAGGGGCCGGTCGGGCTGTCTCCTGGCCGGAGTACCCTCCTTGGTGACACGGTTCCGCACCCCGGACCCGCAGGGGCCAACGTGAACGCGGCGAAGCTTCACGAGACAGCCCTGCATCACGCAGCCAAGGTGAAGAACGTCGATCTCATCGAGATGCTCGTCGAGTTCGGAGGCAACATCTACGCCCGCGACAACCGCGGGAAGAAGCCGTCCGACTACACGTGGAGCAGCAGCGCGCCCGCCAGGCGCCTGGAGTTCTACGAGAGTGAGGCCACAGTCTGTGTCGTCGTCGTTGTCTGGGTGGTGTGTTTGCGGGGAACCGCGCGAGTCCGCCGGTCCTGACGGTGTGGCCGGCCCCGTGCAAGCAGTCAGCGTCCCGATCCCCGTGGGCGGCCTGGCCCGCCCTTCAGGAGACCAGGGACCAGGCACGTGGCGAAGGGCAGGACTTCTTGGGGTAGATTTTAGATGAGTTCACACAGCCTTATGCGCGCAAGCGGCTTTCAAACACTGCTTGCTTGGGGGCGGAAAACGATTTATTCAAATTCTTGCCGGCTCCACCCAGCCGAACTCGAAAAGAACTTAGAGGCAAATACCGTCCACATCTGTGGACTTTTCTCTCTCTTACAGAATTTCATAGATCTGCACAAGTTGAGAATATTGTGTTTGGCTGATTTATATTTTTATCAAGCAGATATTTGCATTATACGTGGGGTGTTTTTTAAAAATATTTAAGTTTATTTATTTATTTTGAGAGAGTGAGCAAGCAGGGGAGGGGCAGAGAGGGCGGAAAGAGAGAGAATCCCAAGGGGACGCCGCTGCTCAGCGGGAAGCCCTGTGGCGGTCGATCTCACGACCCTGAGGTCATGACCTGAAATCAGGAGTCTTGCGCTTGACGGACTGCGCCCCCCAGGTGTCCGCCTACTTGGCTGTGAAGAATCGAATTGTTCCAAAAGGCAGTCGCGAGGCCAGACTCCGCCCGTGATCCTGCACCTCGGCTCCGGGGCCCTTGGCTCCGTTCCATCTTTGGCCCTGGTTTGCTGGCCTCCAGGCCGCAGGCTTCGTCCCTGGTCCTGACGTGCTGACCCTCCGCCCCGCGACGCGCATGTGCGGACTGCGTCTGCCGGCGCGGTTTTGTGACGTGGGTCAGCTGCGCCTCCGGCCCCTGAGAGCCCGGAGCGCAGGAGCTGGCGGCCGCGCGCCCGCCCCGCCCCTCGCCCCGCCCCCGCATCGCCCCGCCCCTCACGTGCCTGCGAGCCTGAGACACGCGCCTCCTGGCGGTAGACGCGTCCTTGCTGACAAATCTGCGTGCCAACGTAGACCTGTATACAAGCGGAAAACCTCCCCAGCACCCCACAAAACGGTACCCCAGCGGACAGCACCCGCATTCCGTTTCCTGACCTTCCTTCCTAGGCCCCCGGCGGGCAGTCCTCGTAGCCCTCCAGGGAAGGCACGCAGCGCCCGCGGTGTTTGCTGTTTCCGGCTCCGCCACGGTGCTTACCGCTTCCGGTTCCGGTTCCGCCGCGGCCGTTTCCCGGTTGAAGGCCTTCCGCGGTTTCCCTGCGCTGACCTCACGTGCGTCGTGTTCCCTCTTTTCAGAAACCCCGCTGTCCCTGGCGCAGCTCTGCAGGGTGAGCTTGAGGAGAGCCACTGGCGTCCGGGGCCTGGAGAAGATCAGCAAGTTGAACATCCCTCCCCGGCTCATCGATTACCTTTCCTACAACTGAGCCAGCGGCGCGGGAGGCGGGAGCCGGCGGGGCCGCCCCACTGCCGCAGACACAGCCCCGGCCCCCGAGGCCCCGCCGGCGGCCCGTTTTGTCGTCTCCGCAGAGTCCTGGACAGCGTTTGCAAGGCGCTGAGAGGCCCTGCCCAGTCCCGGCCGCCGGCGCCCTCAGGAAGGGTTCTGCCGGGGCCGCGGGGGAAGGCCGCGCGGGCGGGGCCCGGGGCGCTGCTGCTGATTTCCGCAGGCCTGGGGTCCCCGGCCGTCCGGAGGGAGGCGCCTGAGCTGCAGAGGTCAGGGTCGGATGCTGGTCTTGCCGCCTGGGACACCTGCTTGGTGACCTCCTGCTCGGATGCTGTTTTTTGCAGCTGCGGCTGGGGCTTTCCAGGGCCCACCTGTGGGCAGGTGTACCCGTCACTGGGGGGTCGACGCGGTTTTGGGGGAAGGGCTCAGGCCGTTTATTCCCCACAACCAGCGCAGTGCTTCTTGGGAACTTTTCAGGCCCTGCCGCTTACAAAATTTATGTGGACGATTAAATGCCCGTAGAGCAAATAGAGGCTGTGGCGCGTAGCTCTTGTCAGCGGGTCTGTACAGGCAGCGTGTGCCGGGAGCAGTCGTTTCCAGCGTGGAGCACCGTTAGGAAGCTTTAGGGATGATGTGTCCTCTCCCTGCTGTTGCCGACGGAATCCTTCTCCGCTGAATTTTGCTAACTCCTTTGAAGCTCTGAGATTGGCAGAAGAGGTTGCCAGCACCCAGCAGGTATTAACCGCCGATTCATGCATTTTTGCAGATACTTACGGGACATCTGTTATGTTTCGGGAGCTGTCAGGGCGCTTTGAACTGTGTGGGACTCAGGCTTACTACCCAACAAGGGAGTGAAGGGGTCTGTCCCTGTGGCGATAGAAACCACGGATTCCGCACCGTGAGGCTCGAGGTGAGCTCGTCGGTACCGGGTTCAGCCTGCATTTGTCTAAGATTCTGTATCCCCGTTGAAAAACCCAAACCTGGTTGGACATTTGTATAAGTAGCTCAGATATGTCTGGTTTTTGAGGGAGCGGGGAAGGCGCCGCTACTGGGGGTCATGCCCGGAGCCGGCGTCCCCAGAAACGCGAATGTCCCCAGGTGCTCCCGGGAAAGTGCGCCCACCAGTGGGAACCTGGATTGCTGTGCTGCGCTGCCAGAGGGGTCTCTTCGCAGTTCTCGGTGGGGCCGGAGATCTGGGAGAGTTTCAGGGCTGCCACAGGTATTTTCTGTCTCTGCTGTTTGAGCCGTTGCCTCGGTGATGCATCACGGACTGCTGCGAACGAGCCATTCCCATTCCGTTAGAGTCTGAGATCCGAGTTGGGGCCAGTGGTTTTTGCACGTCCCAACCGTGACAATGACACACCAAGCATGGGATCTGCCCGTCCATCTCCGGGACCGAAGCTCGTCTCCGTCAGCAAACGCTGATGACACTTCCTCACGCTGGGCACGGAGTGCAGAATCAGACCCCGAACCCGCTGCTCAATAAAAGTGGCTTAATCGAGTCCGTCCTTAGGTTCACGTTGCCCTTTTGTTGGGAGCAGAAGCACTGAGTGGGCTTCCTCCTGTCGAGAGGGGCTGCTGTCATCTTGTGTTTTGGAAGGTCAACTGATGGGGCCCTGCCCGTCTCCCTGATTCCCTCCTTCCTGCCTCTCCTTGTCTCCTAGTGTGGACGACAGTGCTGCCCTCAGTGGGGACACACTGCCCGAGGGATCAGATGACTGAGGTTTTAGGGCCTCTTGTACCCCCCCTCGTCCCCCGGCTTTATTGAGACATAATCGACATGGAACCCGCCTGAACCTTTAGCAGGGCTGTGACCGTGGGCACATTTCTCTGCTCCTCGGAGCCTGGGTGTCCCTAACTGCAGCAACAGATGGAGGAGGCTCAGGCTCCCACCGTTAGGACATTGATGATCAACTCCCGACTCTTACGTGTTTGAAAATGAGGCCCCGAGAGCCTCCTTTGTTTTTGTGAAGGTGAAAAATAAGGTGATTAAAAGATGCCTGGGAAAGTATAAAGTGCTCCCCAAACATAAAAGTTACATGTCGGTGTCCGTACTGTGGTGGTGCTGGCTTGTAGGCCTCTCAGCCATGTAAACGATCTCCTCTGACCCTGGGATGGTCCTGACTTATTTCAGGAGCCATAGATCAGAAAGAGCTCAGTTTACATTTTATTTTTTACATATATTTTTAAGATTATTTATTTTGAGAGAGATGGAGATAGCACAAGTGGGAGGGGGCAGAGAGAGAGAGAGAGAGAGAAAGAATCCCAAGTAGGCTCTATGCTGCCAGTGCAGAGCCCAACTTGGGGCTCGAACTTGTGAAGCCATGAGATCATGACCTGAGCTGAACCAAGAGTCGGACACTTTAACTGACTGAGCCACCCAGACATCCCTCTCAGTTTATGTTTTAAAACCCAATGTGGGGGCGCCTGGGGGGCTCAGTTGGTTGAGCGTCTGACTTCGGCTCAGGTCATGATCTCACAGTTCATGGGTTCGAGCCCCATGTCGGGCTCTGTGCTGACAGCCAGCTCAGAGCCTGGAGTCTGTTTCGGATTCTGTGTCTCCCTCTCCCTCTGCCCCTCCCCTGCTCACGCTGCCTCTCCTCTCTCTCTCTCTCTCTCAAAAATAAAACATTAAAAAAAATTTTAAACTCAACGTGTAGCTGACAGATTTGGAGAGACGTTTGCAGCACAGATAGGAAATAACTGGTAATTAAAATGTATAAAGCTCTAGAAGTCATTAAGAAAAAGATTCATAGCCCCATAGATGAAAGAAAACAGGCAAAGACTCTGGACAAGAAATTTAGAGACACTTCAAATGTCCCCTGTTGGGAAAGGATGGTTAGTAATGATCAGGGAAATGCAAATTAGTGAATATTTAATTCAACAAAAGGATATCAATATATACTATTTTCTTGATAAAAATGGAAAGGTCTGATAGTTTATGTTGATGGGCCGTATAGGCATATGGGGACTCAGCTAACTGGGGTGTCTGTTGATGTGTGTATTTTGAAGGATAGCAGATGGTATCTAGTACCCAGAGAAGCACATACCACATGTGCTCCGTATTTCCCCTTTTATAAATGGACCTTAAAGAAACTCAGGCATATCGCAAGGAGACATACTGAGATGTCTCATACAGCAGTGTTGATAACAGGGACAGACCCCATTAGAGGGGCAAGTTGGAGAGTATATTCTTATAATCAGTTAAAGTTAAGGTGAATTAGAGTTATATGTTTTCACTAATAGATCTAAAACTTACGATGCTGCTGGAAAAAAAGTTGCGCACCTTATTTATGTACAGTGTGGATCCATTAATATTCTAAGTATCTAAGGATACCTCCGTGTGTAGTCAACGCTCACATGGGGCCCACAGGCGGGCGTCGTGCTAGTTTCCTCTGGGTGAGGAAGGACATGTGACTTGGGAACAGGCATGAAGGGGACATCACCTCTCTGTGACATTTCGTGTCTTAAAAAAAGTTACAAGCAAACAGTTCTATTCAGGTTGGAGGTGGGGCAGCAAACAGGTAACGTGGGTGTATTCTCTGTGTGTTTTCGGTGTTTTTGTGGGTTTTGTTTTTTCATAACAACGTAAGGCTCAGAGGAGGAACAAGGGCCAAAATGTCCTTTAGGAAAAGAGGAGGAGAGTGTGTAACTGTTACAAACGGACTCTGTCTGAGAATGCCTTTCAGCTTCGCTCTGCGACGAGGTCCTGCTCTGGTCGTGAGAGCTTGTGTTTCACAACAGCTGCTGACACTTGCTCACCGTCCGTATTTTCGGCCGGGGAAACAGGTTGTAGCTACTTTCTTAAGTCAGCTAGACCCTGGAAACCCTGATTGTGCTGAGTGGCTCCCAGGGCCTGCCTGCCTCTCATCTGAGGTTAGCCTCTCCTGCTGGGGGATGGCTCACGCCTTAGGTGACTGCGAACCTTCTAGATGTGGCTCTGGGCAGAGTTCCCAGCCGCAAATGCTGCTCTTTGGAAAGTTGGAAGCTTGAGGAACTGGTTCACTAGGAAGACCCATCTTCGGGCTCCCGGGTGCTGCCTGCCCCCCACAGGTCGAAGCGAGGGGAGGTGCACGGAAAGACGGGGACTCCTTCCCTCTCCTGCCCACCCACCTGTCAGGATGGAAGGACGAGGAGTCTCCTTTCCTCCTTCCCGTGCCAATGTTCACGCGCACAGAAATGCTGCACGTGGTACCCCGTCCGTCCTCTGGATGTGTCTGCGCAAACCTTCGAAATTGTTCGGGACAGAGTGCCTTGCTCAGCATGTCCCTTTTCCCTCCTGGGCTGCTGTCATTGGAACTGCCGCACGCTTCTGTCCAGGGGACAGCCACCCTTCCTTTTCAGCAGCAGGTTTCCATCACTCATGCAAACAGCAGAGAGCGGGCTCTGCACACGAGGCGGGCTGTGTGCCCATGCTGTGAGTGGCGGTGCCGTCCTGCAGTGCGGCCTCTGCGCGGCTCTGGAGCATTTACTGTTTTCCCTGTAATGGCCAGAAAATACTTCCAGACCTGGGAGACTTTGATTTTTCTCTCTTCTCAGTGTTGGTACCACATGGCATTGACAGCCAAGCCTCAGTTATGTTGGCATGAAAGTCTTGTGATCTCCGGCGGTTTGAATGAAAATATGTTGTAAGTGGGTCCAATCTAAACAAGGTGCCTCCTGAAGGCCTGATGTTTCAAAACCATAAATAAAGGGAGAGATTCATGATAGGTATCCCCCACCCCACATCCCCCCAAACACACACTTCTTTTTAGAAAAGTTTTCTTCCAGCATCTGGTCTCCAGGTGTGTGGTTCTGCTGGACCGGATGTCAGAGCGGAGAGAGAAGTTGGAGCTGAACTCGAAGCCAGGGGGTGCAGTTACTTCAGCTCCCTGCTTTCTGCATGATCAATAAACAAAATTCCCATTGCTTCTTGCTGTTGATGCAAATCCCGAGACTCATTCTGCCGGGTCTGAGACGGAGTGCTAGATGGGACAAAAGGCAGGAACATTTACCCAAACCTTGGTTCATTTTCCCCAAGCAGCCAGCCAGCCGGCCTGCCCACTAGCCCACCTTCCGTCTGTCCGTCCGTCCATCCATCCAGACAGCCAGCCGGCCTGCCCACTAGCCCACCTTCCGTCCGTCCGTCCGTCCGTCCATCTATCCAGACAGCCAGCCGGCCTGCCCACTAGCCCACCTTCCGTCCGTCCATCCATCCCTCCATCCAGACAGCCAGCCGACCTGCCCACTAGCCCACCTTCCATCCGTCCGTCCATCCATCCCTCCATCCAGCCAGCCAGCCGGCCTGCCCACTAGCCCACCTTCCGTCCGTCCGTCCGTCCGTCCAGCCAGCCAGCCAGCCAGCCAGCCTGCCAGCCAGCCAGCCGGCCTACCCACTAGCCCACCTTCCGTCTGTCCGTCCGTCCGTCCGTCCATCCATCCATCCAGACAGCCAGCCAGCCGGCCTGCCCACTAACCCACCTTCCGTCTGTCCGTCCGTCCTTCCATCCAACCAGCCCGCCAGCCCGCCCTCCTTCCCTCCATCCATCCCACCTACTAGCCCATCCCCCTCTCTCCATTCAGCCAGCCAGCCCTCCTCCCTCCATGCATCCATCCATCTCCTTCCCTCCCTCCCTCCATACATTCATCCTTTTATCCTTTCTTTTTATTTTGAAACTGTTCTTTTACTAGGTTCTCTGCTGGTCACGGAGGATTAAAGTCCGTAAAAACAAATCTTGGCCCTGAAGTATTTCAGAGACCATTTCTCAGGGAGGAGACACAGGAGCAAGTGCTGTGTCCAGAAACGTGGCGGTTGGGGCGTGAGCCTCACCCAGGATGAAGAGCTAACTCTGCTCTTGGCAGAGGAGAGAAGAGGGATTCGGTTCCTGGGTCTTGGGTTAATAAATGCAGTTGCATTCATTTTTATATCTACGGTGCTGTGTAGTTTACAAAACTGTATAAAGTGGCCGTTGCTGGCGGTACATTTCTGGGGTAAATGACTCGTTTGTGTTGTGCTTTTTCTCCCGAACACAGAAACCGGAGACTGAAGTTCAATCCCGTGGAATTCTACATGAATAGAGTTTACTGTCATCCGTTCTTGTGTTTATGGGTTCCAACACATGGATGAGAGTTTTCTAGAGGGCCAGACTGGGCACCCAGGGAGTGGGGGTGGGGTGGATTTTGACTTTGAGCCTGTAGGAATCTATACCTTGCAGAGCACATTATGGGTAATTAAAAAAAGTGGAAATGAATGGAGCCATAAAAACAAAATCCATCACAAGCTACTTTCAAAGTGTCTAGTTGTTAGTTTTTTTGTGGGGGGGGGGAAATGGAGGGGTCCCTCGATTCTTTTTAAAAAAACAAAGAGGGGGGCACCTGGGTGGCTCAGTTAAGCATCTGATGTCACCTTAGGTCATGATCTCACAATTTGTGGGTTCGAGCCCAGCATGGGGCTCTGTGCTGACAGCTCAGAGCCTGGAGCCTGCTTCAGATTCTGTGTCTCCCTCTCTCTCTGCCCCTCCCCCACTCATACTCTGTCTCTCTCAAAAATAAAAAAACATTAAAAAAATTTAACAAAAAGGTATGTGTGCTCTTAATCCCGTTAATCTAGGGACGCCTGGGTGGCTCAGCCAGTTAAGTATCCGACTTCCACTCAGGTCATGATCTCGCAGTTTGTGGGTTCGAGCCCCGTGTCTAGCTCTTGGCTGACAACTCAGAGCCTGGAGCCTGCTTCATCTTCTGTGTCTCCCTCTCTCTCTGCCCCCATCCCCCACTCACACTCTCTGTCTCAAAATAATAAACATTAAACCCAAAGAGTATAAAATTCTATTTAAGGAAAATAGCAAAAATATGCTTCAATTCCATATACTAGAGAATTGGAAATGGAACAAGAAGGGCAGGCAAGGGAAATCGGCTGCCCTGTGTGGAGTCACCCGAGGGGACACCAGCCAGCGTGGTGTAGGGATGGGAACTTTGCACGCAGAGCAGGTTGACAGTAGGGTGCGGCTTCGGGTGCATATG